TGATTGTTTGAGGAATTTGTGCAAGAATGAATGAGTTTGTGGGATAAGAAGTTGGCCCACGTTAATTCAATTGTTGTAGGACTAGATCTTTGGGTCACAAAGGTAGGAATGCCTTTTTCAGAGATAAGTTTAAAACCTTTTTGACCACATGTATTGATGAGGATTGAAAATTTGCGGTGAGAGTGGGGGTAATTTGATGGGTTCCAGAGTTTATTAGGGGGTATCAAATATAGGAAATCCACCATCAGAAACCAGTCACTTTTCCAATAAAAAAAGGTGGATTTTTTCAAACAAGTCAATTAAATAATGGTGGATTTGGTTATATTTGACACCCCGTATTATGGAGATTGGAGTCGATGAAGATGAAAGAGGGGATTTTTTGAATGTTAAAAGTGTTTAGCCAGGTGTTTAGTTCAGGGAGGGCGTCAAAGTTTTTGGGAGGATTATAGACATTGATGAGTCTTACTTTTTTAATTTTGTTGATTTTAATGTCAATATCAACAACTGATAGAATACGGGAGCCGCCAGGAAGAGGATGGATTCGTTCAGAATTGTATTTTTTGTTGATTAGGAAGCAGTTGCGGTGTTTGTTCTGATAAGATGACAGAGAATGGTTGTGATCAAGGAGACAGAGCCAGTTTGAGTGGAAGGGAAGTTTGAAGGAGTGAGGATTAATCCAGGGTTCTTGCAGAATGAGAATTGATGAGTTGGTTTTGGTGTTCAGGATGCTGAAGGTGACATTGAATGAGTTGTGAAAATTTAATTGGAGAATTTTGAAAAGGGGTTCTGAAGCATCTGATGAAGGAGATGGAGGAAAGGAAGGGGGAGAAGAAGGGAAAAGGGGAGGAATTAGGTTTGGGTTGTTGTCTTTGTATTAAGATGTTTTTTCAAAGGGATTTAGATTTTAAGGGGCACTTGATACTATTGGAGGAGTGATGAAATCAAATGTTTTCTTCATCAACTTTGGTGGAGAGATTAAGGATTCTCTCTAATTGGATACATTTGACGCAAACATCTTTACTGTTGTCGGAGGTACATTCTCTTGAGTTGTGGCTATCGCCACAGAATTTACACATTGGAGGGTTCTTGCATAGTTGAGTGGTATGTCCAACATTGGAAACATTGCAATGGAGATTTCTTATAGTGGGCGCCTCTTAAGAATAAATTTTTTTAGAAAAGACCTCCTTTTTCAACTTTTTGAGCAAGGTTCTTATCAAAAAGATTAATGATCAATGATCCATGAGATTGTTTCTTCAAGTGTGGGTCTCTAAGCCATCGGATTGAAAGAATATTTTTAGGATTGACATTGTTTTCTTTACACAACTCAGAAGTCAATGATTTATTGGAGGGAGTGAAGGAGATTGGCATTGAGTGGACAATAACCGGAAAGGATGAAGGAGGGGTAATAAGGCAAGGATCACAAAGGTGGGTCCACTTATGTTTATGCTCAAGAAGCCATTTGGCTGTGAAACACGACTCATGAGTAAAGAATTTGAAATCTCCTGAAGGAAGGGTTGCAACCCCCTTGATAGTGATGGAAGTGTCATCATTGGTTTTGGCATCAATTTCCAATAAGACAGTGTTTACAATTTTTGTAATTTCACAAGGAGATTTTTGGAAAGGGGCTTGGTTAATCGACTCCCAAAAGTTGGAGAGTCGACTCCCAAACCCCCAAAACCCCCAAAATTCCCCGTATTCCCCGAGTATTGGGAGTCGATTCCCCAAACCCGTCAGTGGGTTTGGGAGTCAAATCCTCAAAAAATTTAAATAAAAAAAACAAAACCCCCGGAGGGGGACGGAGTCGATGCCCCAAACCCCAGTGGGTTTTGGGGGTCGGCAAGCCAAAAAGAGCCCTCGATGGCCTGATTACTCCCGGCCGTCAAGGATGTACACCTTCAACGGCCAAGAGAAACCCTCCCGGCCGTTGAGGATGTACACTCTCGACGGCCGAGAGAAACCCTCCCGGCCGTCAAGGATGTACACTCTCGACAGCCGAGAGAAACCCTCCCGGCCGTCGAGGATGTACACTCTCGGCCGTTGAGAGTGTACCTCTTGCCCTTCAAGAGTGTGCATCCTCAACAGCCGGGAGAAACACTCTCGGCCGTTGAGAGTGTACACTCTCAACAACCGGGAAAGAACCTCTCCGCCGTTGAGGGTGTACACCCTCAACGGCCAAGAAAGAACTCAACGGCCGAGAGGTTCTCTCTCGGTTGTTGAGTGTGTACACGCTCAACGGCCGAGAGGTTCTCTCTCGGTTGTTGAGTGTGTACACGCTCAACGGCCGAGAGGTTCTCTCTCGGTTGTTGAGTGTGTACACGCTCAACGGCCGAGAGGTTCTCTCTCGGTTGTTGAGTGTGTACACGCTCAACGGCCGAGAGGTATCTCTCTCGGTTGTTGAGTGTGTACACGC